TGAGAAGGATGTTTCCTTCCATTAGCTATGCCAACCTATGTCTCCCTCGTCACTGTGGTGGTCTTGGTGTGCTGGATCTGTCCACTCAACAGGCTTCCCTCCAGTTTCTTTGGCTTCTTCCTCTCCTTTGTCCTGTCACCCAATATGCTCCCCTTCCCATTCTCTGGCTTTGTGCTCATTTTTTTTCATTATATGTCTCTTTCTTCTTCCTCTTTATGTTCCTGATTATGTATTTCTTTCTTTTTTTCCTGATTTTCGTTCTGGTTTACGTCTGCCCCATTCACATTCATTTAATCTTCTTTTCTCGGCTTTTGACTGTCTTCCCCTACCACAATTGTGCAGTGACTTGTCTCCTGCTACATGTCTTTGCCTTCCTTTGTCATCCATATGGATATCCTCTACCACCGACCCCACTCCAGCTAGGCCAGGCCTCAAACGCCTTACAGCTGCCGATGCCTACTACTATGACCTCCCCACACAATCCCTACAACGTTGTCTTCGGACAGATCGTCCTATGCATCCCTACCTCTTCTCTCATTTTTTTCTGTGATGTGGATAACAACCATATCATTCATCCTCCATTCTTTATCCATTCATGCACACCACATATGAATCCTCAGTCATTATATTCTGATACTGTGGATATGCCTTCTTCTCCCCTCACGACATCTTTCTTCAACTCGCCACTTATGCACTCCTTTTTCTCACAAGTCTTCCGCTCATTATGCCATCCACCACCTATGCCCAATTCTTCTCCTGCTGCAACCTAACAAGTGGAAAGCCTTTTGGAAGGCACCTATGTCCCATGTGGCAAGGAATGTCTGGTTTTGCTTATTGCATGGCAAACTGTCCTCCTCGTCACTCCTACACCACATTATCCCCACCATTGTCCTGTCACCCTCATGCCGATTATGCTCTCACCCTCGCCACAGCCCTGACCATTTCTTGGTGACTTGTCCAAGGGTTTGGCCTGTCTGGATGTCCGTTTTGCTATATTGGCTCAGTATTCACACTCCTTCTTCTGCAGCAATCATCCAACATTTACACTTCTTTTTTCTTCCTCTAAATGGACCTCTGACTAGTAGTCAAGTCTTTGGTGCAGTTCTCCAGGCAATTTGGCACGGCTACTGGACCAGCCACCTCCACCACTCTTCTTTCATCACCTTCACCATCTCTGAACATGCTCGATCCCTTCTCACCACCCTCACCCGCAAAAACGAAGACATGACATAGTCCAGTGTATATTTACCTTTATGTACTTTTCTCTTATATTCTCTTTCTTTTTCTAATTTTCTGTAAGTGAATTGTGTCCATCATGTTTTCCCAGTCAGACCTCTCAGTGCGACGTGTGGCTGTGTAAAAGACGCTTAATAAAAAGTGTCTTATACAAAAAATTCCTTTTTATAAAGCGATATTTAAAATCAATAGGTTTGCAGATATCTAACTTGTTTTCTTTTGTAGAATACCTCAATATCAGATTGTATTATCAATAAAAAAAAAGTTGATGGATGAAATTGTTTATTATAACATTATAGCTAATACTATACTATTACTATAGCTACTGCCTAAGTAGATTCCCTTATAGCAATAGAATATATACCCTAAAAGCCTTGTGCTTTATTCTTGGGAGATAGATAGTTATGATCAGGAGTATATCCTAGACACTATTGACCTTGTAGAAGACTACCTGAGACTAACTTTAGAATAGTCTTTATTTATTAATAACAAAAGAGTATATTAGTAATAATTCAATCAAGAGAGATAGTATATTTACCTTGTACTTAATATTTGTCTTGAGAATAATAAGCCATATACCATCTATTAGAAGAAGAGTAAGTACTATGTCTTTTGAAATAAAATGAGCTCAAGCCCAGATGATGACACTACTTACGTTTTTTTATCTCAAGAATAGCCTTTGATGATGTCTATTACTTCTTTCTATTGTTTCTTTTTGTTAATAATAATACATTACCTTGACCAGTTATGCTCATCTTAACTAGCACTTGGGTGTCAAGTTGTAGGGACAGTGTGAGAAATAACAAGACCAAAGAATGAGAAATATTTTCATTTTGGTAAGGTATACAGTCCCATACAATAAATGACTAAATGGTGAACTAATTTCTCTTATTCAAATATAAAATAGAGGTCAAATCATAGGACATTGGAGACGTGCTAACTATCAAGGAATTTCTGACGATCTTGACATTCTAAAGAGTACAGTGGGCAGGATCGTCCTATTGTATAAAAACAAAGGCACAATTCAACTCAAAATGCATACAGGAAGACATGAAAAGGTGTCATCTACTTCAAAACTGGCTATCATTTTGTTTATTTGCAGAAACCCTATGCAAATAATTGCATATCATTTGAGAAATATGAATGATGCAGGCATGGATGTTTGTCGTAGTATATTTCTAAAAATATATGAATAAACTCAGGGTATTTTCATGCTCACCATCAAGACAACCTGGTATGACACTTACTCACAAGCAAAGACAATCAGAATAGTGTAAAAACAAGGCTGATTGGTGAGTGGAGAGGTGGAGTAACATCATTTGGTCTGATGAATCTCATTTTGCAGTTTTGGGCAATGATAAAAGGACTAGATTAATCAGGAAGAAAGGCGAAAGGTACAAGGAGCGTCATACTCAAAGAACATACAAGTATGACAAGGGTTCAGTCATGGTTTGGGGTTGATTTTGGTGTTAAGGTGTAGGACTTCTTGTACTCTTGGAGAGATCAGTTAATCAAAACAAGTATGTCAATGCAATTGCTAAATACTTTCTTTCTTGGTTTCAGAAATTGCAAGTGAACCTCAATGAGACTATGCTCTTCCAAGAAGGTGCTCTGTTGTGATTGAAAATAAAGGTTTTGCTATAAAGTACTGAACAATATCATTATAATAAGAATATAAAAAATCATCTAAAGAACAACTATTCTAATTTCTGTGTTATTCCATGAACCTTTTATTATGAACATCTTTGACTGATAGATGTACCTTTATTTGTCAAAATAAAATAAAAAATAAAAAATTGATTTGCTGTCTACTCATTTACTGTATGGGACTGTATATGTGTATAGAAACCCAGTGGGATTCACAGTTTCCATTGATAGATACACAATATTTATGCTTTAGTACAACTTCTTGGTTTTCAAATCATATATTGAATTATTGGCATATGAAAACCAATTATAAAACAGAAATAGTATAAAAAGAAGAAAAAAAAGGTCAAATATTTTATCTTTTCTTCATGGAACCTGCTTTAAAGATGATAGCAGTGAAAAGGTCAATCACTGGTATTGAATAGAAGCCGAGTTGTTTTTTTCAGGACATACATTTTCAACAGCTAATTGTGAAAAGTTTGTAGGATACCTCGAGGAAGGTGCCAGAGTTACTCCAGTATTGAATAATCATTATTCAAATGAAGATACTTCTGTTGTGGAAAACTAGGATGCCAATGGTTTGCTCTCAATTCTTAACATGAAGGTGTCGAGCTTTATTAATCAACAACAATCAGACAAACATCTGGCTTGCAGTAGCCAACCCACCAAAACATCAAAAAAGAATTCAGTGTAGTTATTGCTAAAAAAAAAAAGCAGATAGTGTTTGAGATAGGTCATTTAGACAGCAAAAATACCCTTTCTTAAACATATTAGCCAATAAGAATGATAGTATGATTTTGTGATCTGTTTATTTACTTTTATATCCCAAAAATCTTTAGGTATGTAGACAGTAATCGGAATAAATAATATTTATGTTGAGATTAGATCGGAATTTATGAATGTTTCATTTATTCTTTACTTATGAAACTGTCTTGGAGAAAAAAAGACAATTACACACATAACTAAGCAACCTGTTCATCACCCTACACTTTTCCACTAATACAAACAGTATAATAAATATAGACTAAACCTATTAAATTATACTTTTTAATATAAATAAATATGGATAGAACCGAGATATTGTGACAATGTGTTTTTACAGGGGAAACATGTGGAATAAAAATAAATAAGCAAAGAAAGCAGATAGATAAAAGCAGTAGTATTTCATCCTGAAGAAATCTCCGACTATAGAAAGAGCCACCGTGACAGCTTGTCCTTCCCATTTTATAAGGAATATTTTGCTCATTATCATAAAAGGTCGACCTTTTTATCATGTTTAAGCGTGCAAAAAAAGAACTTGCCAAGCAAGCAATTCACACAGAAGACTATAATGAAGAAATAGCATTAGAAGAGGAAAGACTTGCTGGAGTATTTTCTGGATCAGAAGATGAAAGTGACGATTCTGATGATGAACTTGTGATTCCTGCTGAATTGAGTCGTCCTTCTTATGTAAAAGAAGAAATTGATGCTGAAGAGTCCGATGTCTCTGATGAAGAACTCTCAAACAATGAAGACGACAGCGAAGATGAAGATGAAGAAGATGAAGAAGAAGGTGATGAAGAGCAGTCAGAAGGTCCTGTCATTTATAGCTGCAAGATCTGCCCCAACAAGCATCTTAAAGCAGAAAAACAAGTAGAAATTCACTTGCAGAGCAAGGTAAGTTCACGCAGTGATTGAAACAGACTGAATAGCTTGTATCTAATTTATCTCAACAGGAACATAAAAGAAGACTGAAGTTTTTACAAAAGCATGGTCTAGAATCAGATGAACTGACTGGAGGAAAAAAGAAGACCTTAGAGAAATCTAAAGCAAAAAAGGAAGAAATCAAAAAGACCAAAATAGAAAAAGCAAAACTTGTATGTTATTATTGAACAACTAAAAACATGTACTAACACTGCCTATTCTATAGAAAGCAAAAGAGCATCGCAAAGAAGTAAAAAGAAAGCGATGGGAACGTGATCAGGCAAAAAAGGTTGTTATAGAAAAGGTAGTTGATGAGCCCACAGTAGAAGCACCACTAGCAAAAAGAACCAAGATATTGAAGCCAAAACGTAAAATAGTAGCTAAAAAATAAACCATATAACCCAGTGAATGAAGATGACTGGTATTTTAGTTGCTGCCTACTATGAGAATTGAACTCACGACCTTCGCTTTACGAGAGCGACGCTCTGCCAACTGAGCCAAGCAGGCATATATGTTCTTGACGCGTGTGGTATTTACTGATATTTAACAGGTAGATAAAAAGAGAAATAAAGGTTAAAATAAAGATTATCACTGATAATGGAGGGAAATGGGTTTGGGAAAAAAAGGAGAATAGTCTCTTCAAAAGAATTGACTATCTAAAATAAAATGAAATTTACACTCATAAGTGAATGTAAAAGAGAAAGGGATATTGTAGGATACAAATATAAAAGAAAACAGTGAACAACAAGTTCACAAGGAAAACAGTACAATTAAGAATATACAGAGACTGATTTGTACAAAACACAATGGATAATTCACAAGTAGAAATCAACAAAATGATACACTTGTCTCTGAAAGATCCAATTGAAATGGAAGAATAAGATAACAAAATAAAAGAATAAGAAATATTCAGAAAGAAGTATCAAGATAGAATTCAACAATGTTTATTAGTGAAAATAACTAGGAGTATTTATACTAATAGACAATAAGGTAAAAATATGATGAAGTCAATTTATATAAGCATTGTAGAGTGTAGTAATAGTGCAATTCCTAATGTGATTATACTATTATGTAGCTTATAATAATATCAATGGGATAATATAAATAAAAACAAGATGAAATATGCCACAAAATAAGGTTAACAATCCTGAATTACCAAAAGAATGGTAATTAATAAAATGAAAAGTGTGGACTGAAAAAGGGAAAGTATAGAAAAGCATGGTGTAGAAGAAGAAAAGTATGGAATGAGAATAGAAAAATAGAAAAATGTAGTGCAAAAAAAAAATGTGGTGTCAAAAAGAAAAAGAAAAGTGCACACCAAAAAAGGGAAAAAAAAGAGGAAACAGAAAGACAAGGAAAACTTAGCAATTCTGTCTTTGCCAGACAGAGGAGAGCTGTGACACATGTCATGGTTTGGGACCAAACAAAAGAGAAGCACAGCCCATTCCATCTTCTTGGTGGCTGAAGCCGGGAAGGCCCACACACACTGTGTCATTCTTGTTGTTCCCTAATTTGGACAGAATAGTTCTAAGCCCAGAGGTATGTGCAGAGTGGAATAGCTAGTGGTTCTTGGTTTGGACATGAAGCCCACATAGATCAAAGAAGAAGAATAAAAGAGAAGATAGAAGATAATGTTTATTCATTGAATTCACTTGATTATTTATACTAAATTCTACAGTGTACAATTGCACATACATGTCTTGGCTTTATGTTCACTGTAAAGAGAACATAAAGCCAAGACAATATATTGCATTAGCATTTATCTTATTAATTATATTATACTATCTGTGTGTATCCACACAGGATAATGTGTCTTCCCTTTTTGGAAGACATGTGCAGCCAATAGTATTACTCTATTTGATAGCACAGTGTCTAGCATGGACATTCTTCTCAGTTATGAATTTTGACAGGATAATTGTGATTATTCAGACAAGTAGAAAGTAACAAGACTGAACAAAGATAATTTTTATTAAGTGAAGAGTGGTTCATTATTTATACTTTTTGTGGGTGCTTATCCTTCAGTGGCATTCTACCTTTTGGTAGTTAATGATTAGTCCATGGCATAGCTTATTGATAAATGCAACCATATGGTTGGTGTAGATGATTTATTCTATAGTAGTTTACATAGGTGTAGCTTTATGGTTGGTGTAGGTGTTCTACCTAATGGTAGACTACATGTTGGAGCCTTATGGTTGGTCCATTGAATAAGCACACCATTATAGAGCCATCTATTATGTCCACTTTTAATTGCCTTTGATAGGTCTTATTTAATCCACTAAGGATTTATAGATGAAGGCAGCTCATTAAGTGTCCAATAATAATTTGAGCTTAGAAGGTTGATTTGTAGTTATGACCAATCAGTGAGATGATACAGAGATGTACTATGGTACTTGTGTGCACTCAAGCTTTCATAGAGTATTCTGAATGTCACAGCATACTACTCATGTTGACCAATTCATGAAGAATCTTTGGATTGAAGTCAGAACATGACAATAATACTAAGCCCAAAAGTAGAGACAGAAATAAGAGGAAACTGAGGATAACAAAGTCTGGACTGAAGCCCACGTAGATCAAAAAAGAATAGGTAAAGAGAGGATAGAAGATGCTTTTTATTCATTCAAAATAGTTGCTTATTTATACTAATTTACATATTGTCATGTTCTGACTTCAATCCAAAGATTCTTCATGAATTGGTCAACATGAGTAGTATGCTGTGACATTCAGAATACTCTATGAAAGCTTGAGTGCACACAAGTACCATAGTACATCTCTGTATCATCTCACTGATTGGTCATAACTACAAATCAACCTTCTAAGCTCAAATTATTATTGGACACTTAATGAGCTGCCTTCATCTATAAATCCTTAGTGGATTAAATAAGACCTATCAAAGGCAATTAAAAGTGGACATAATAGATGGCTCTATAATGGTGTGCTTATTCAATGGACCAACCATAAGGCTCCAACATGTAGTCTACCATTAGGTAGAACACCTACACCAACCATAAAGCTACACCTATGTAAACTACTATAGAATAAATCATCTACACCAACCATATGGTTGCATTTATCAATAAGCTATGCCATGGACTAATCATTAACTACCAAAAGGTAGAATGCCACTGAAGGATAAGCACCCACAAAAAGTATAAATAATGAACCACTCTTCACTTAATAAAAATTATCTTTGTTCAGTCTTGTTACTTTCTACTTGTCTGAATAATCACACTATGGCCAAGAACCTTGTCTACCAGGGGATGTCCTAAGACCATTTATTGACACCCCAACATCCATAAGAGCCAAACCCACTGGCTTGTCTGCCTCACACCAAAGACTACTCAAGGCACAACAAGAGGCAAATGAAAGAACTATGGCTAACAGTAACTGGGATAAAGAATGTTGGGATGCCATTGCAAAGCCCTATACTTTCAATATTGGAGACCATGTCCTAATACACCACAAACAATGCTTGGGTTTGGAGTATAACTGGAGAGGTCCTTATACTGTTGTGGACAAAAACAAAAGCATGAACATATACAAGCTGACCACATTCAAAGGCAAGCCATACAACTCCTGGGTGCATGCTGACAGACTCAAGGCCATGAAGTCTTCAGAAGTCACCAGAACTTGGTATAATCCCCTCAAAGCAAGACACTATGCTTGACTGGATTCCCATACTTGTACCAATGCTCAGGCCAACACAATGATCAAGCATGATCAAGCATTTGGAGGGGGGGTATTGTTGTAAGACTGCTTTCCAAAAATGGATGTTTTGTCATTTATGTCCCTGAGCAACTAAAAAGGAAAATGACAAAAGGTAGTAGTGATGCATGAGCAACACAGAATACTACAAAGCATTATGTCATTGACACTCTTACAGCATATCAGCAAATGTATACCTGACATCATATCTTATAGTAGTAGAATAGTAAGAGAAAAGAAGTATAAAAGAAGTGTACATTTGAATGAATAAAGAGCAGAGTTTAACCACATGTTAACTGGCCAGATTCCTTTGATATCTAAGATCAAAGACAACAAGAGAGGAATATCAATAACTGAGTTGTAATTTTGGGGTGATTCTTGTTCTATTTCTTGTTGTTACAGTGTTGTAATCATGAAGACAATGGTAGCAGTTACAGACCAATTATTAAGTTGTCTCCTTTCTACAATGTAATTCATAGTTAAGACACTGCATATTAAAGTCTACTGAACAGGCCATTATTTGACAAGCATCCTAAAACAGTAATAGATTATTCTCAATAACACAGTCACCTGTCTATTTAGTATAAATAGACATGTCAAAATTGTTTTAATAAAAGTATCTCATTTTGAGTCTGATTAATTCCTTTTCAAATTTAACATACAGCCAATTCTATACTTTTTAATTGCAAAGTCAATAGCCAATGCTAGAATAGGCAAGTAGAGTTTGAAATTGACCATTTAGACAGCAAAAAAGCCTTTTCAAATACATTAGCCAATCATAAGAATATTGATATTTTATTCTCAGGATATTTCCTTATATATCCCAAAAATCTTTGGGTGTGTAAGAAAAGTATTCATACTCAATGAGTAAAATGGTAACTGTGAGATTCGAACTCACGCCTCTTGCGAGACCGCAACTTGAGTGCGGCGCCTTAGACCAACTCGGCCAAGTTACCATATATTTTCTTGTCCGTGCTAGACACTGCCCTGTCAAATAAAGTAATACTATTGGCTGCACATGTCTTCCCTTTTTGGAACACACATTATCCTGTGTGGATACACACAGATAATATAATATAATTAATAAGATAAATGCTAATGCAATATATTGTCTTGGTTTAACATGTTTACTGTGAAGAGAACATAAAGCCAAAACATGTATGTGCAATTGTACACTGTAGAATTTAGTATAAATAATCAAGTGAATTCAATGAATAAACATTATCTTCTATCTTCTCTTTTATTCTTCCTCTTTGATCTATGTGGGCTTCAGTCCAAACCAAGAACCACTAGCTATTCCACTCTGTGCACATACCTCTGGGCTTAGAACTATTCTGTTCAAATTAGGGAACAACATTCTGATATGTAGTGTTGTGAGATTGCCTGCCTCAGTGACTGCCAAGTTTAGTGCAGGGAATTGACTTTACAAATTTCTCTGTTCCTCAACTATTTCCTTTTTGGTTCTGTTTCTCTTTCTTTCCTTTTTGTGTTGATCTTCTCTTTTCTTCCTCTTTTGGAAACCAATATGTTTCTGACATTTTCTGTACATGGTAAAGAGATCAGTGCTCTTGTCCCACAATCTTTTCCTTTCTTTACTCTTTTTCTCATACTATTCTGTTTTCTACCTAAACTTGTTTTCTCTTTTCTATGATGTATTTCTTTATGCTATTTTAGTTGCTTTTGCAGTGGATAACTTCATTACTATGAGTTCACCTCAATGGCACTATTTTAGTTTCTTTTTCTTTTTTGTTTTCTCCTGAAGAATCATCATTATGATGTATTCTTGTAACAATGCTAGTATAGTT